AAGGAAGGAAGGAAGGAAGGAAGGAAGGAAGGAAGGAAGGAAGGAAGAAAAAGAAAAGAGGGAGAGAGGAAGGGAGGGAGGAAGGAAAAAAGGGAGGGAAGAAGGAAGGGATAAAGGAAAGGAAGAAGAAATAAGGAAGGAAGGAAGGAAGGAAGGAAGGAAGAAAAAGAAGAGAGGGAGGGAGGGAGGAAGGAAAAAAGAAAAGGGGAAAGAAGGTGGAAGGGATAAAGGAAAGGAGGAAGGAAGGGAGGAAGGAAGGAAAAGAAGAGAGGAAGGAAGGGAGTGAATGAGTGAGCGTCAGGGCGTAATCTTGGGATTCGCTTCCTGGAACCATCGAGGGATCTCCTCTCCTCTCCTCTCCTCAGTTGATCTCCTGCTCACTCCGTCAACCGGACACTTGTGGCTTGTACTCTTCATGCCCTTGATGTAAGGGTTCCATTGTTCCTTTCAAAGGAAGAAAAAAAAACACGGGATTTTCTTTAGCTCTGCCAGCCATTGTGTGCAAGGAAGCGGCCACTGAGCTCTCTTACGAAAGAAATGCAGCAGACTCACCACCATGTCCGAGAGAAAATTTCCCTCCGTTTAATTAAAAAAAGAAGAAGAAGCCAAAAAACCTCCAGAATTGAAACATCAGAATTTTGAAAAAGTTTATCTGGAGGATGGCCATAGTGTAGGGGTTAGGGAGCCTATCACATTTCTTTCTTTCTTTCTTTCTTTCTTTCTTTCTTTCTTTCTTTCTTTCTTTCTTTCTTTCTTTCTTTCTTTCTTTCTTTCTTTCTTTCTTTCTCTCTCTCCTTCACTTCCTTCCATCCTTCACTTCCTTCCTTCCTTCCTAAGGTTGACTCAGCCTAGTGTCCTTCCCAGGTGGGTAAAATGAGGACCCAGATTGTTGGGGGGGCAGAGGCTGACTCTGTAAACTGATTAGAGAGGACTGGGAAGCACTGGGAAGTGTATACAAGCCTAAGAACTATTCCTTCCTCCCTCTCTCCCTCCCTCCTTCCTTCCTTAGGTTGACTCAGCCTTCCGCCCTTCCAAAGTGGATAAAATGAGGACCCAGATTGTTGTCTGTCCTTCCTTCCTTCCTTCCTTCCTTCCTTCCTTCCTTCCTTCCTTCCTTCCTTCCTTCCTTC